GACCTGAGCCGAAGGCAGTCGCTTAACCAACTGAGCCACCCAGGTGCCCCTCTGCTCTTGTTTTTATGTAGATGTTCACACGGAGGCGGTGCAAGCAGCTTTGGCCAAATACAAGGAGAGGAAGATGCCCATGCCTTCGAAAAGACGTTCTGTTCTCGTACATTCCTCGGTGGAAACCTACACGCCTCCAGGTATGGACGGACCGTTGGCTTCTGTGGGGTTCCACAGCCCTGACCTCATAGCCTTCCTTGACCCCTCTGACCTGTAGTAAAGATTTGGAAAAATTAGAGATTAGAAATATTTGTATATGTGCCATATTCCTTCCTGAAAATCTGTGGTATACACAGTGTGACTCTTAGCCGTGGGTGCTTGCTTTCTACAGGACTTTTGGGTAGATTTTAATTCTTTTACTAAGATGCTATTTATGCTTTTTAGTCAAGAGAGGAACCTAAAATCAATGTTACTGGAATACTAAAGTCCTCTGATTTAAGAATTTTAAAATTATTCTCATCTTATTAATGACTATTTACTATATTGTTACCAGGCCTTAAACAGGAGAGTATAGGCTATTAGGAGGATTTTAAAAATTTATTATTGTTTTGTTGTCATTACCTTTAGAAATGAGAACTTCTACATGGAGCTTTTCTTTAGCGAAGGTGTTGTAAGCTCTGTCTCAGCACACACCCGGTGTTGGTGATGTGTGGGGCTCTGCGCTGCTTGTCTTGTTTTTGAAGTCATGAAACATGGCAACATGAGTTTTTGGTTTGATGATGTAGTGAAACCCAAACACACCAGATTTACAAGACAATTTGGTGGTTTTGGTAACAATTCCTTTCTAAAGAAAAATAAAAGTTTATATTGTTGAAAAAATATTCTAGAAATAGCTGTCAAGTTATTGTTTCTACTAAATATAACTATAGATACTACCCACTTTTTAAAAAAACCTTTTAATAACAATAAAATGCACAGTCACGGTGACTTGCTAGAACCTTAACGAACGGTTAACCCTATTGACTGAAGCAGTTGTCTTGGGGAAGGACTTGTTCTCAGAGCTCACCGCCAGCTCCCCTAGGCGGACACAGGTGGACGGGGGCGGCCTGGGTGGGCTGGGGGTGCCTCCCCTGACGGCTGCTGAGCCTTGTGTGCTGGTTGTGTGGGGCGTTCGCTCAGGTGGGCACTCAGCACCTGGGGACCCCAGCAAGGAGTGTGCTGAAGCCATTTAGGGCTTGGGGTTGCCCTCACTCCCAGCGTGTGGTGCTCCCAGACCGTCCCCTGGGGGAAGCTGGGCTTGTGAAACCCCTTCCCCACGTTCCCAGGTGGGGCTCCTTGGATCTTACAGCTGGGCAAACGCAGGCCCTTCGAGACTGAGGGCAGCCTTTGAGATGACCCCTGGGCCAGGCTGGGGCACAAAGCTTGCCGTGTGCGGGCCTGGGAGACACAGGTGCCAGTGTGGGAACTCCGCCCTCCTCCCTACTCATCCCTACATTATGCCTGTCGTCATTTTAACCACAGACACATCATCTGCCTCAGAAGATGAGGGCTCTTTACGGCGACCCGGGCGACTCACCTCCACTCCGCTCCAGAGCCATTCCAACATCGAGCCCTGGCTCGACCGGGTCATTCAGGGCTCGTCCACCTCATCCTCTGCATCCTCCACCTCATCTCACCCGGGAGGGAGACCCGCCACCGCTCCCACTGCTGCTGCCACCACGCTCACAGGCCCCGCGGCCCACGCCCACATAGGTCAGTAACGAGCGGCCACGGCCCCTCCAGGACGGGTGCCCCTGCGCCCATCAAAGCCCACCTTCTCTTTGTCATCTGGAAAGGCCATTTTGGAACAAAAGTAGTTCTTGATGCTTCTGTGGTTTGGCAGTTGCAGACCGTGTGGTTTGTTGGCCTCCCCGTGGGCCCCAGAAGTGGTGGTGTTTCTGGAATCCTATCTCCTCCTGCTCTGGAGGGGTGGGCTGGTAGAGGTGGCAAGTGTAGGGTGGACGGTCCCCAGACGTGGCCTCGGTTGCTCCTGATGGCCACCCTGAGCCTGCTGCCTCTGCGTTGTCTCCGCCTTCGCTCTTTGCCTCGTGAGCACCCTGTGCAGCCAGCAGCGGGGCAGGGGGCCGGGCTGCAGCCCTGGTCTGGCCTGCCTGACGCCACATCCCAAGTGAAGCAACCCTGAACCCTGAACCGCGGTGTCCGGCAAAGCTAAATCATAAAGATGTGTAGGTCTTTTCTAATTCATCCATTTCTTTAAATTACATTAATCTTGGAAAGGAAAACTTGCAAACCTTTCCTGAGTTGAAATCTTATCTGCTGGACCGTAGCATAGTTCGCCTCATGTGAGCTGGTGCGTGGGGCTCGCGTCCATTCTGCACTCGCCCCGTAACGACGCGTGTCTCTCGGCGGTGCTGTCGGCACTTCTGCAGACTTCTCTTAACCCCCGCGGTTTTCTGGATGTGCAGGGAAGGACAGAAAGCAGGCTGTTTGTCCCTTGCCTGAGATCACACAGCTGGCCCAGGGCTGGCACAGTTTTCTTTGCTGTGAGTTCTGCTAAAACTGTCGTGGGGCACCATGCCCGTCACAGGCCGTGTCTCCGGGGGCTCCCCGCAGCCTTACCACCCCCAGGCAGATGCGGGCTCGGGGGCCGAGCTGCTTTCCTGTGAAATCTTGGTCATCTGGCTGCCCTGGGAGCCCCCCACCCCTTACTGGATGAGGCTCGGCATCCTCTGTGGGCACATCATGGATGCTCTTCTCTGTTTACCTGTTGAGTCAATACGGGAAGCCTGCACGTTTCTGCCAAGCTTGTCTTCCACCGTGACGTGGGCTCACTGCTCCAGCGCACGGAGTGGCTGCCAAGGGCACGGGGGAGCCGGCGGGGCTGGGGCTTGGGGGCAGAGCCCTTGGGGAAGCAGCCCCCGCAGGCTCTTCTGGCAGCGGCCCTGGGTGTCCTGCCGATGGGCTGGCTGTGGTCACTCCCCAGCTGTCCTCAAGCAGGGCTTCCGGGGAGAGCTGGAAACACGGCCTTCACACTGATGCATTTTTTCCTCTGTTTGTCACAGTGATTTCACGTATCGGAAATAGCTATCTGCAATGGGAGGAAAACGGTGTTTCTGAATGTTCTGTTACCTTATTTCTGCTTCCTGATACTCTGTTCTGGGCGAGATGGTGTAGAAAGTAGAACTGCATCAGCATTGCCGAGCTGTTGCGAACCCTGCTTCCTGGTGGGTTAGAGATGAAAGCGTATGTAGCATGAGCGGCTGGCCGCAGCCCAGAACATGGAGCCCCACAGCCCTGGACTGTCCTGTGGCCGTGGGGTCTTTTCACAAAGCCCGTGGCTGTGGGGGGCGGGGTGTGTTCTCCGCGAGGGGGGCTGTGGAGGCTGACAAGGGAGACTCCTTACCGCGCGCACGGAGGACCCCCGACTCTGGCGGGTGTGGCCGCACCCTCTTCTCCCCCGTCCCACTCGCTTAGCCTCTCCCACACACTGTGTGATCAGTTCTTGTGAATTCTAGTCATCTTCACTGTGGATCGTAGCCTTCTTCTGCTAAATGTTCTCTGGATATAGTTGACTCGAGTTCCTGAATCTGAAAATACTTACCTTCCTGCTCCTTATTATAAAAATCATCCTTTTAGTTTTTAGCACTGGGGAATTCTTCAGTTTGGACTAAGGAAAGAAATATAGAAAGAAGTAGGATATATTAGGTAAAAAAAAAATTGAGGTACAATATATTAGGTAAAGGTAATTTAAAAAAATATTTTCAATTTTGGATTAAAGAAATTAAATTAAATCCATAAAACATTGGGACACAGATGTAAATACCTATATTTAAAAGTAGTATTTTCAGTTATAGCAGTTCATTTTTATTTTGAGTATTGTTTATTTTTATGTAGTGATTTTAAAACTACTTTATAGTTAAGATTACCATTTATGCCTTTCATGAATATTGTTAAAATCACTTACTCTTTTTGCTAGATTTGGAAGGTTGGGGAAATTTCTTTCTAAACTAAAAGAACTTCATGATAGGCATACTTTAAAATGCTAATTTCATCAACATCACACTTTCTCACGGGTTGTGAAAACGCTGTCGTTAAGTTAGATTTTTCCAAATGGTGTTTTCTGATATGTAAATAGAGTTTGGGTTTTGCTTCCATATAATTTCATCTTTCTACATATTTTAAAAAAATTTTGGCTTGCATTTTGCCTAGGTGATGAACTAATAGGTAAACGATCAGAACTTAAAAATCAGAAGCAGCAGAGTGGCCCCTGTGGGGGCGGGAACACGCATCAGAGGACCAAAGGGACGGCAGGTCTGTCCCGCCGGCCCTCATACAGACGCCGCGGTCACGCTCACACTCAGGCTCATGCTCACGCTCACGCCTCAGCAGCTTCCAGTCAGCCGGCACTCCAAACGGAGACATGTGCCGTATGGTACAGATTAAACCCCAAAATGAGCATTCGGACAACGGAAGGAGTGACTTCAAACATTTTCTGCATCTCACGTCGTTTGTCTTTAACTGTGACATTAATATCTTTTAGTACTTGACTGAGGTCCCCCAATAGTGAGATGTGTTGATCTGGAAGCAGGGATCATTTTTATCTTCATAGGCTTATTCTTTGAAGGCTGAAAAGGTCTTGTGTCTTTGTGACATTCAACATAGTTTTCAGGGGAGTGGGGGGTAGTTTATAGAAGCCTGACTATTTTTTTCATAATACAACGAAAATATTCCAATGACAACTGATTTAAAATGTGTCTCTGATTCATTAAGATTTCTTACTATTTTGTTTTGAGAGACAGTGAGTGAGAACACAGAGGGAGAGGGAGAAACAGGCTCCCCGCTGAGCAGGGAGACCAATGAGGGGCTTGATCCCAGGACCCTGAGATCATGACTTGAGCTGACTGAGCCGCCCAGGCGCCCCCTTCACTGTGATGTCTGTCTAAAGTTCATTCATGACTGCCAACGCGTTATCGTCGGAGGTCCTGGCCGAGATCCCTATGAGAACCACGTGCATACAGGTGTCCGCAGGCTGTGTCTGGGAGTTCAGAGTTCACAGGGTCCTGATGTGTCTTGGTCAACCAGAAAAACAGAATGAATCAGATATCACATTCCTTGCTTAGAGCTCAGTTACTGAGGCTTTCCTTGAATGGGATTTAAAGAGCAACCTCATCCTCTGAATCAACAGCCACTTTCATTTGGGGTTTGTTTTTCCAAAGCAGATGTGCACTCCGCCCCTCCGGATGTCACCACGGGCCTTGGGGAGCTTTCGCACTGTGAACATCCGCAGCTGGCTTCTGTGCGAGGTGTCGCTCGGGGCTACAGCGGGAGTGTCCTAGAAACGGCTGGTGGTGAGCATGCCTCTCTTTGTCCTTTTGAAACAGCAGAGCACAGCCTTTCTCTTCAGGTATGGAACATGGCTTTGGTGCATTTGCTTTAGCAAACCTGAGCCAGCCATTAGCTGTAATTCTTCAGTGTGCGTGAACGGAGGCCAGTGTGTGCGGGGGACGTTACAGAGAGTGTCGTGGGGAGAAGCAGTCAGCAAAATCTCTGGAATGGGTCAGATGGGGAACAAGGAGAGCGGGGAGGAGAAAGCCTCCACATCTAAATTGGATGCCAAAGGAGTTTAGATCTACAAAACAGTAGGAAAATGAGAAGCCGTGGGCAGTCTCTGTTGCAGACTCTGTGTGGCCTCAGTGTGAGAGCACCCTGCCTGTGACGCACCGGTCCCCATGCCCTCTGTGCCCACAGCCTGAGAGATGGGCATAGCGGCAAGGCTGGTTTCTGACCTGCAGGCTGGAAAGGCCAGTGTGATCCTCACAGTGTCCTCATTTGCGCTATTTCCTTTGGAAACAGTTTCCGGTGTCTTTTATCAAAATCACGTGAAGGCTTCTTTCCAGTGTACCAGATTAGAACTGCAAAAAAATCCAGAGGATCTTAGATCGAAGGTTTTAATGTGTATTTTGATATTCCTAAGCAGTAAATCCAATTTTGTCAAGGTCTTTTAGCTCCTTGTCCAGATGCAACAGGAAAATACTGAGTCAACATGAAGCAGGCTTTCCATTGGTTAGATAGATTTTTTTAATTTGATTATATTTAAAAAATAAGAGCTTAGTTGAGGTATAACTGACTTGTAATCAACTGCACATATTTAAAGTATACAATCTTAGAAGTTTTAAGACGTGTGTATACCTGTGAAAACCATCCCTATGATCAAGATAGTGAACACATCCATCTTCCCCCTCTGCCCCTCCCCTCACGTCCCCCCCCAAATAAATAAGTAAATAAATAAATAAATAAAATCTTGGGGCGCCTGGGTGGCCCAGTCGGATGGGCATCCGACTCTTGATTTCGGCTCGGGTCATGATCTCAGGGTGGTGAGATCGAGTCCTATATGGGGCTTGCGCTCAGCACAGAGCCTGTTTGGGATTCTCTCTCCGTCTGCCCCTCCCCATGTCTTGCTCACAGGCTCACTCTCTGTCTCTCTCCCCCTCAAATAAATAAATAAATAAATAAATAAATCCTTTTTTAAAAAAAGATAGTGAACACATCCACCGTTCCTAAAAGTTTCCCTGTGCCCCTTTGTAAACCCGCCCTTCTGCCCTTTTGGGCTACCCCCAGGCTTCAGGCAACTCCTGATTTACTTCCTGACAATATAAATTAGTTTGCATTTTCTGGAATTTTATATGGATAGAATCATGCAGTATTTCCTCGTAGATTGTCTGGCTTCTGCTGCTCTACATAAGTACTTTGAGATTCACTCATGTTCTTGGATGTATCGATAGTTTGTTCCTTTTACTGATAAGTAGAATTTCATTTTATGGATGCGCTGCACTTGTTCGCTTGCTGAGGGGTATTTGGGTTGCCTCCGGGTTTTGGCTATTGCAAATAAAGCTGCTGTGAATATTCTTATACAAGTTTTTGTGTAAAAGTATACTTTCACTTCTTTTGGGTCAATAGCTGGGAATAGAATGTCTGGATCATATAATAGGTTTATGCTTAACTTTCTAAGAAATTGCCAAACTGATTTCCAAAGTGGTTGTACCATTTCACAGTCCCACGGCTGGTGATGAGAGCCCTTGTTCGCCCACATCCTTGCCTGGAGTTGGTATTGTCCATCTGTTCATGTCACCCATCCTACTGGGTGTGTGGAGGTCTCTCATTGTGGTGTGAATTAGCATCTCCCTAAAGACTCAGGAAGTGGAGCATCTTTTTATGTGCTTATTTGCCATCTGTATGTCTTTTTAGAAGTCTGTTCAGATCTTGCTTTTTTTTTTTATTTTTTATTT